CTTCGCAAATAGATTACGAAGCGAGAGGGTATTAGGCGAACTCCAAATCAGATTTACCCAAAAAAAGGACAGGAGGCTGCACAAGCTACTGAAGACCCTCCGAACCCAGTTTCAGTGTGGAAGGAGACCGTGAGGAGATGCTGTACCGCAAATGAGGGGGGACCCTAATTCTGAGGGCAGAGGCGGTAAGAGGTCAAGCTATACTCGAACCTGGGCAAGATGTGGCGCCTCATCTACGAGATCTAGCGTTCCTCTCAGAGTCATGTGCCTCCTAATCGCAGTGAGGGCTATGTCAGTGTGAACCTACCCACCCGTCCTAACCCTTAGAAAATGGGATTCTGTGTTTGGTGGATATTTTCTGGGATATAAAGGGGTCTCCTACAATTTACTTGAAAAATAGTGCTTTTGGTCTATGGAAAAATAAAAGGATTGAAGAGGTTTTTAGTAATGGGGCAAGGGTTTAGTTTTTTCATTTTTTGATAACCCAGAATTTGTACCCTCAGTTTCTCGGAGGGAGGGCCTTTGGTATATTTGGAGGTATTTAAACTTGTTTTTGAAAAAATGGACCCGTATGATGAAATTATCTAGGGAGAAAAGCTACCAGGTCCCTGTGTGGGCTAAGTTCTTTCAATGCTCCATTTGAATACTGGGGGATAGTGATGGATTAAGTCGAATAGTCTAGTGCTGGTTAGGTGTCCCTCTTTTTTATGACCAACTTCAGGAAAGGGGTAGTAGGGTGGTCCCTTTGCTAGGGTGTGTGTTGAGGTATAAGCCGCACTACCTTACCGGCTTATGTTTAAGGTGACTGTGAAGGTATTAGAAGCCACAGTCAAAGTTGACCTAAGGTTTACTTCCAAAATGTATCACTGCATAGCCTTTGGGCACTGATACAGCCAGATGGTGTAAAACATCACATCCAAGAAGGAAGTACAAAATCACCCTGATCCTGGTGGAATACAGAGGAAAGTTGTGTTCCAGAAAGACTACTGAGACAGTAACAATGAGGAGCCTGTGAGGAAGGCTTGCCATCAATTGTGGTAAGTGACAGAACCACCCGAGAAATTCAAGTTCAGGTGGAGACTGCAGTGGAACTTATTCTGATCAAACTCACAGGAGATGGTGCACAGAGGTGGAGTCAGGATGAGAATATGGAGGATCTGGTGGCAAAGTAAAAATCTACAAGCCTAGTTCTCCCTCATTGATACAGAATTGTTGGCTAAAGTTGGAAATCTCTGGTGAACCACTCCTGGTGCAAATTGACTGGCAAGCAAACGCCAAGCAGGCTCAAGTGCAAAAGGTAAATCCTTTACTGCGGTATAGGGTAACTAAAGCCAGGAGGTAGAAACGCAGAATCCCTCCAAAAAATCTTCGCGACCGTGCCAAGGAGTGGATTCCACAAGATTTTCCACTTAGCCAACAATTCTGTTATCATGAGGAGATATACTCTAGGCTGTGATTTTTACCAGTTCCTTCGAGGCCACCAGATCCTCCATTTATTCTCTCCTTTGGACTCCACCTCTGTTGGATTTAGCACCTCTCTGTGAGTCTGATCAGATTAGTTCCACTGCAAGTCTCCGCCCTGAACTTGTGAATTTCTGGGTGGTTCTGTTCTTCCCAGATTGGTGGCAAGCCTTCCTTCAACAGGCTCCTCATTGTTTTACTGTTCTCAGTAGTCGTTTCTGGAACACCCAACTTTCCTCTTACCCCTTGGCCATAACCAGTTTCCCGCCAGGATCAGGTGATTTTGTACGTTCCTTTTGGATGTTGATTAGAGCCGCCAACTTGAGTTTCACACATCTGGCTTATCGTGCCCAAAGGCTATGCGTGATCACATTTTTGGATGGGTAAACCTTTGGTATTCAACTTTGACTGTGCCTTCTTATACCTTCACAGTCCACCATTAACATAGCCGTAAGGTAGATGCGGCTGTCTACCTTCAACACACACCCTAGCAAAGACACCCTACTACCCTGTTCCGTGGATTGCGTCCATTAAAAAGAGGGACACCTTACAGCACTAGCTATTTCGACTTAATCCATCACTTATCCGGAGTATTTCAAATGGACATGAAGTAACTTAGCCCACACAGGGACCTTGTAGGCTTTTTCCTTTAAGATAATTTCATCATACGGCGTCCATTTTTTTTCAAAAAGTTAAAACCTTCCAATATACCAAGGGCCCTCCCTCGTAGAACTAGGTTACAACATTCTGGGTTTCAAAAAATTGAAAAAACTAAACCTTCCCCCATTAGCTAAAACCTCTTTCAGATCCCTTTTATTTTTTCCATTTAGACCAAAATCAATATTTTTCAAGTAATTTGTAGGAGGACCCCTTTATCCAGAAAATTATCCAACCAATACACGAATCCCATTTTTCTAAAGGGTTAGGACGATCGTCAGTGGGTAGGTTCACACTGACAAGCCTCACTGCGTTAGGAGGACATACCTGAGAGCTAACGTAGATCTCGTAGATGAGGCGGCCACATCTGCCCAGGTTCGAGTATAAGCTTGCTTCTACCGCTCTGCCTCCTCTGAAGTAGGGTTCCCCCCCTTTGCGACGCATCTCCTTCACGGTCTCCTCCACAGCTGAAACTTTGGGTTCGGAGGGTCTTTCAGTAGTTGTGCAGCTTCCTGTCCTTGGGTAGATTTGATTTGGGGTTCGCCATAGCCTTCGCTCGTATCTATTGCGAGCAACCATATACTGTCTTGGAGATTTTTGGAACATCGGGTTATCGTACTTCCTGCGATTCGACCATCGAGAGGTTGATAGAGAACGCATCTAGGTTATAGGTGTCAAGATTGATATGAAGAAGGATCTTCACCTTTGCCCAATCGGTCGAACTCTCTGAAATTTCTGAATCCGTCAACTGAAGTTCTTCGATCTGTTAGGTTTAGGGTTTTCCCTTCCACCTCAGCGTCATCGATCTTCTCTGACGCAGAGTTGCATTCTACACTATGTCTCAACATTTGGATTCCTATGACTCTATCGCTTAAGATTTTCGAATTTGTTACTCACAGACCCTAGGTTATCACTTAGTTTATTACACCCTAGAACCCCTCTCTACCAGAATTCGCTATCTCGTCATTCGATCGACTCTCCGAATGGATCCAAAGCATTAACTCCTAGCATCGTATTCAATGAGGATTTGAAACCCTAGAAACAGCCGTTTCTAGAGAGATTGCTAGGCTTCTCCTCATAACCCATTTCTTTTTTTGATTGTGCCAAAAGGTTGAACTTTAATAGGGACACCTTGAATGTATTTTGGTTTTTCAATTTAGAAACCACAGAGGAAAAGTCCTCATGGGTCAGCCCAGAAGTCAAAATATTTGAAAAGGTTTTCTTTTGAAGAAGTCACCTTATCAGATATATTGAAACCACAGCTAGCGATGTGATCAGATATGCCCAGAGGGCAAAAAGTTAGCAAAAGAGTCAGGGAACTTAAAACATTAGTTTAACACAAGCACTCATTTAAGTTTTTTCGAAATCGCCTATCTTCTTCCTCAGTTCAGGGAGAAACTATCTTTCTTCCTTTTCTCTTTCTTTCTTCTAACTCTTGTCTAGCTCTCAAGAAGATAGTTTCTCGCCTGACTTTCTCTGTGTTCTCCATCCTTCTCTCTGTCGTTCGAGGAAACTAATTAGCTTGGGCCCCATATTTTTTCTTGTTTTTTTTGGTGAATAGCCCCTAATTGTTTCATTAGCTTAAGGTGGCCAGTTGAAATCAAACTAATCTTGCCTACCCCTTAAGAAACGAAATTACGCAATCTGGTAACTGTAGCTTAAAGATTTAGTTCAATTTAACCATCCATCTGAGTTTCTTTTTTTGGGTGAATCTCATCTGAGGTTTTCAAAAATCACCCAGTGGTTCAATCTCAAGTCCGAAAGGATCAAACTGATTCCCTGTTAATTTTCTTCGTATTTCTTTCTTTCATTTTCTCTAACTTTGTCTTCTACCTCTATAAGAAAAATGTTTTCTCTCTAACTTATCTGTTCTTCTCTGTGCTTCTCCGTTCTGTTCTAGGAACTACATAGCTCGTGTCCCGTAAATGTGTCATTCGCTTAACTGGCCAAGTTTAACTCAATCTAATCTTGCTTAGCCTCTGAGAAAGAGAATTTACCGAGTAACTGTAGCTGAACGATATTAGTTTAACTTAAACACCTCATTTATGATTTTCCAAGTCACCTAAGTGTTCAATTCTCAACTCCAAAAGGATGAATGTGAATTCCCTATGATTTTCTTCCTACTTCTCTTTCTTTTCTCTAACTTTCTCTTCTTCTAGCTCTCAGGATAAAAGTCCCCCTCTAACTTTCTCTGTGCTTCCTCATCCTTCTCTCTTTCGTTCAAGGAACTAATTAGCTTGGGACCCTAATTGTTCCATTAGCTTAAGTGGCCTAATCTTGTTTAGCCTCAAAGATAGAGAATTTACTGAGTAATTATCGATACTAGTTTGACTTAAGCACGTCATTTAAGGTTTTCTAATCTTGTTTAGCCTCAAAGATAGAGAATTTACTAAGTGTTCAATTCTCAAATCATGCAAGGTTTGGAGGAATTCAGGAAATTGTCCGGTCTCACTCCTAATCCTAGTAAGAGTAATATTTATTTTTCCGGGTGTAGTAGTGAGCTTAAAGCTAATATTTTGCACATTGCCAAATTCACTGAGGGCTCCCTCCCTGTGAAATACTTTGGGTGTGCCTTTGATCACCACTAAGCTTAGAGCGTTTGATTGCCAAACTTTGGTTGATAGGATGACTAAAAGGATTAAAAGCTGGACCAATAAATTGCTATCTTACGCTGGAAGAGCCCAACTCATCCAGTCTATTCTTTTTTCGATGCAAGTTTATTGGTCCTCCATTTTTATTCTCCCTAAGAGGGTTATCCGCGACATAGAAAATCTTCTCAGATCTTTCCTTTGGTCTGGGACGGAGCTGAAAAAACATAGTGCTAAAATTGCTTGGAAGCAAATTTGCAAAAAAAAGATGAGGGTGGGCTTGGTTTTAAGGATATGGAGGTTTGGAATAAAGCGGCTATAGCCAAACATGTTTGGTACTTGTTTTCGGGTGGGGAATATTCCATGTGGTGTCAATGTGTTAAGTCCTACTTACTTAAGGGTAAGAGTTTTTGGGGTATTAAGGTGCCCAGTGATGCCTCCTGGGTTTGGAGGAAACTTTTGTCACTTAGGGATTTAATTTTCCCCCTTATCAAATTCAAACTTGGTAATGGAGGAAATGTGTTCCTTTAGTATGATAACTGGCACCCCTTTGGTTCGCTTCTGCTTCGGTATGGTCCTAGGATTTTGTATGATACCAACCTTCGTGATAGTTCTAAGGTTAGTTCTATTATCTCAAATGATTCTTGGAATTGGCCTTTTCCTAACTCTTGGGAGATATAGGAATGGATTGCTGCCACTCCTCCTTCTCTTAAACCTTCCCTTGATTCCCCTGATATTCCTGTGTGGAGCTTGACTGCTGATGGCTCTTTTTCTATCCACTCTGCTTGGGAATGTTGGAGGGACAAGGGCCCAAAGGTTACTTGGTCTAATCTTATTTGGGGTCCTCCTGTTATCCCTAGGGTTAGTTTCATTGTGTGGTTGGCTATTCATGAGAGACTTAACATCGGGGATAGGCTCCAAATCTTTGGTCTCCTTACTAGCCCTAGCTTTTCTATCCACTCTGCTTGGGAATGTTGGAGGGACAAGGGCCCAAAGGTTACTTGGTCTAATCTTATTTGGGGTCCTCCTGTTATCCCTAGGGTTAGTTTCATTGTGTGGCTGGCTATTCATGAGAGACTTAACACTGGGGACAGGCTCCAAATCTTTGGTCTCCTTACTAGCCCTAGTTGCCCTTTATGTTGTGCTCCTGAGGAGAACCACTCCCATTTGTTCTTTGGGTGTCTCTATTCGTTATCCAAGCTAAATGTATTTCCCACTGGCCTTCTCTGCCCTGGTTGGAACTTGTTGAGTTTGCTACTAAATCCATCAATGGTAAATCTCTGAAATCTGTGATTTTGAAGCTCTCTTTTCTCTTCACTATCTACCACATTTGGATGGAGAGAAATAGTAGAATCTTTAGTAAGGTTTTCAAACCTGAAGAGGTTGTCACTAACTCTATCATCCAAATGGTCAGGGGTAGACTCCTTTCTATGGAAAATGTGAAAGGTGACAACTGGTATTTGGAACAATGGAACCTGCCCTCTAAAATCCTGTTGCAATCCCAAACTACTGCAGTTGAAAGGAATTTGAGTGGTGTGAGTTATCCTACATTGAGGGTTGAGTGATGGTGAGCAGATATGGAGTGTTTTGTCTAACAAAGGGTGCTGTTTTGCAGATGGTTTTTATTCTCAGATTCTATCAGCTATTATGGACCCCAAATGTTTACAATATCTGGAGCCTATGAGGGGAGGGTTGAGGGATGTGAGCCAGTACAGATACTATTGTAAATGTGGGTTGAGTGGGGGGAGGAAGTACATATATGTTCTAACATGTGCCATATATTATATATATATATATATATATTTTGTGCAGGTTTGTGGAATTCTCAAGTACATTGTTCAGCTGGCTGGAATGAGTGAGCACGAGATTTGTGCGCCGAGTGATGGGAGATATTACATTGAGTGGAGAGCTCTCCTTTCTTGTGGGTCGAGTGAGGGGAGGTCCTATACTGAGTGCTTGTTGTTTCTTCTTCTTTATGACTCAATATATTGTTATGGAAACTCCTTTCTATTATCTGTTGAACAGGTTAAGCAGCAACTTGTAA